GCGGATCCCCGGCGCCGTGGCACGCGGGTCTGCACGGCGCCACGGGACCGGCGCTGCCCGCGCCGCGGGACCGGGATCCCCAGTGCTGAGGGTGGCAATCCCCAGTGCCACAGCACCCTGGCACCGTGGGACAGGGGTCCCCAGTGCTGAGGGTGGCATTTCCCAGTGCCACAGCACCCTGGCACCATGGGACCAGGATCCCCAGTGCCACGGCACCCCGGCACCGCAGGATGGGGATCCCCAGTGCTGAGGGTGGCAATTCCCAGTGCCACAGTGCCCTGGGGCCGTGGGACCAGGATCCCCAGTGCTGAGGGTGGCAATCCCCAGTGCCACAGCTCCCTGGCACCGCAGGATGGGGATCCCCAGTGCTGAGGGTGGTGATTCCCAGTGCCACAGCACCCCAGCACCGTGGGACCCAGATCCCCAGTGCCACAGCACCCCAGCACCGTGGGACCCAGATCCCCAGTGCCACGGCACCCCAGCACCGTGGGACCCAGATCCCCAGTGCCACGGCACCCCAGCACCGCAGGATGGGGATCCCCAGTGCTGAGGGTGGCAATTCCCAGTGCCACAGCACCCCGGCACCGTGGGACAGGGGTCCCCAGTGCTTAGGGTGGCAATCCCCAGTGCCACAGCACCCCGGCACCGTGGGACAGGGGTCCCCAGCATGGTGCAGCCCCATCCCCGCGGCGTCCCCGCGGCGTCCCCGCGGTCACTCACCGCCACCAGGGCTTCGCCCACGCTGGTCAGCACATCGGGGCGCAGCGAGTGGATGAGCAGCTTCTGCTCGGTGAGGACGGCCACCAGCAGCGCCACGGCGTTGTCGGGGCCCAGGTTCTGCAGCAGCGTCAGGAAACTGGCCCCGCTGCGGGCGGGGACGTCGCCCGGTCACCCGCGGCCCCCTCCCCACCGTGCCCCCTCCCCAGCAGCGTCCCCCAGCCCTACCTGAGGGGCAGCGGCGAGGACACGGGCCGGCACAGCAGCAGGCTGTCGTACGGGGACATCTGCGGGGACACGGGGACGCGGTGGGGGACGCAGGGACACGCCGGGCCGGGCCGGGGGTCGCTGCGAGCCCCCTCCACGGCGGGGGACTGACCTGGACCAGGATCCGCGGGCGCTGCGGGGACGGGAAGGGCACGTTGTGCATGAAGTGGGAGATGTGCCTGCGGGCGGAGCGGCCCCGTCAGCGGCGCAGGGAGCGCGCGCCCCCGCCCCCCCGAGCCCCCCTTCTCCGCGCTCACGTCTCCAGGGGCAGCACGTGGGGGCCCGAGATGGAGTAGCGGTAGATGAACATGAGGAACTTGCGGAAGACCTCGAAGAAGGGCCAGTGGGACAGGACGCAGATGCTCTTGCGGGTGTGCAGGGAGCGCCCGGGCACCGGCCGCCGGTCCACCACGCTGAGCAGCCCCAGGCGCAGCGCCTGCGCCTCCGACAGCCGCTCCCGCGGGAACGCCTCGTGGAACTGGATAGCGGCGCCGTACACCTGCGGGGCACGGCCGTCAGGGCAGC